TGGCACATGAAACGTATAAACGAAGAGAGAGAAAGAGAGAGACAGAGTGAAAACAAAAGGTAAACAAAAAGATGAGAAACGAAAACGAGGAACTCGAAGAAAGGAAAGCGAAAAGGAGTTGATGTTTAATCGATGCTTTGCTGATTCTTCGTAAACCTGCGACTTCCGGCGGGTGTGCAGCGTCGCGAATTCCGGTGCTGATAGTAAACGTTACACATTAATTTCTTCGCGGGTTCCACCTCGTATAGCTTCACCCTCGTTTTTTTTTCCAACCACCGTGTCCCTATGTTCGATTTCACTGGCGCGCATCCGCGACCTTTAACGAAGCGCGGCAGGATGCGGCCGGGATCAAGATCGCTACCAACTTAATTGGCTAATTAATAAAAACGTCTAATTACCACGTAGCCAAAGCCGTTTTAAGTTTTCCTCTGTGTTTCTGGAACAGAGAAAATGATCGTCCAAGTTTTATCGAAATCGAGACGTGAATCTTAATTTTGTCATTGCTCCTTTTTTTTTTTTTCACGATGAATGACGATAAGAGGTGCTAGTCAAACTTGATGGCAATGTAGATTGATTCAATTTTCATAATTTACATCACTGAATTAATATACATAAAACGTAACATTTATTTAATTTAGTCGAATTATTTTCCTGTACATATACGATGAAAATGATTATATTTTGGAATGTACGTAAGTTTTTTATCTTACGAATATTTAAGAAATATATAAAAAAATTAACAAAAATGGTTAATCAATTTATCTGATGAATGATTGTTTCATAATATTTTTGTATGGAAATTAACGAACACAATTCTAGAATTCAATTTTTTTATTTTAATATTTTCGACAACTTTTAACAATTAACAAATATTTCCAATGATTTTTCAAAGCTTAAAATTATATTAAAATTATACTAAAATATCTTAATAAATATTCTCATTAATTATATTAATCTCGTAATTAATATATATTGATTACAATGAAAATTATTTCATATTTACATTTACTTCATCTCTAATTACATACATATATGTTAACTTATACACATTTGCATATTTTAAATAAAATAAAAATATAAAATATTAAAATATCTCGAAGATAGAAGTTGCTCCAGTTGCGTGACCTGTTTTTCTTACATCTTTCATATTTTTGTTTTTATATTTCTATTTACTCTATTATAAAGATAAGTAAAATATAAATTATTCCTGATTATAACTTGCAATTATATGTAACATTTCATCAACTACAAAATATATTTAACGAAATGTTAATAAATTACATTAATAAAATTAGCATTAATTTACAATTTTTAATACTTAAATATTTTTCTTCATTTTCGATCGATTTTTTTTTTTTTTAATTTAAACTGACAAGAGAGTCATTTTCTTTCAAAAAATTTCAAAAATTCAGAAAGTAAAGAAATTTGTGATTTTAATATATTGTTACACTCTTGATAAATTATATTATTTTAATTTGTTTTTTAAACATTAATTAATGTATCCTGCAATTTTTGCACTTGACTTTTATTTGTGGCAGATAAATGATTTAATGCATTAAATTCTCCAGTACACTGCATTCTTTGATCGTGATAACTCTTAGTATATATATATATCATAACTTTTCATTTCCTCCTGGTTTGTATTTTCTTTTTTTTTTTAATATCAATAAATATGACATATTTTATGATTCTCATTATATTGAATAATTTTAAAACGAAAAATTATTGTTTAACTAGTACCAAACAAGACATTCATACTGAGTAATTTGCAATTTTATTTTTATTATTCAAAAAGAGAAAAGAATTTTCTTCAAGCTAATAACAATCCCTTTTATGATGTTATTCGTGTCTATCATTTGTACTTCCTGATCAAAAAAACACAATACTATATATATATATATATATATATACAAAACCGTTCAACGCTGCTTTGCTCTGTTTTTCGACCAGATAATCTTCCAATTCCGTACTAAAATTTTTACACAAATAAAAAAAAGAGAGGAAAGAAAAAAGAGAGAAGTTTTTTTTATACAATTTATGAGTAGCGAAACCAACTGAAATTATGAATCGTGTTCGTTGTTGAATCCATTTATTTTCATTCACGCTCTGGAACGGATAATTAAGATATAAATTTTTACAAAGTGGCTTCCAACTAATTAGATTTTCGATCGAATGGACGAGCAATAAAAGAGAACGAAAGACTTGACAAATTCGATAATAAAGAAATATGTCGATCCTCTTTCAAACAAATACTTAAAAATTACGTGGCTTCTTGAGGAATATATTTAAATATCTCTCTAAAAATTTTTCACGTGTTATTTTTTATATTTAGATTGTATAATATTAGATTTAGACTTTTGTTCGAAATCTAAAGATACTTTTTATAAAGCATATTTATATGATATAGAAAGATTTAAGATAATTTTTATTTTAATTATTATTTTTAAAATTCACAGAAGAAAAAAGTTTTAAAGAGACAGTCGGTCGCACTTTCGACCAAATTTTTTATATTCTTATCAGGATTAAAGCCTTCTCTAGGTTTCGTACTTGTCTGAGTTATCTGAACACGTGTATTTTATCATCGTGTAAAAGTATTTTCAAAGTATTACCAAATATTTCGAAATATCATTGATTTGTTTAACAAATCGTGCCCAATGAATGCCTTTTCTTGATCTCTGATTTTTCTTGGAAATTCCAATATTGTATTATTTATAGAAAAATTTGAGAAGAAATTGAAAAATTTATTATCGAATTTCATCTATCGTCAATCGTAGGCAATCATTATCACGCTTGACATTTCAAGAGAATCACTAAATAAGAAATTTGAAGCATTTTTTTAGCAAATTGAAGATTATACTTGAAGTCGAGGTCTCGAGTTTATCGACAGCCTCGAAATGTTGTACTATCGAAGCAGATAATTGATAATATGGATTTTTACGTAGCGACATAAAATTCTAAGTACAGAACGAGTACACAAATGATATTAAAGGTATAATTACAATTAAAATAAATATATAAAGGTAAAAGAAAAATTAGATAAACTTCTTTAATATATTCTATAATATATTGTAATAAATTTCTAAAGAGAAATATTAAAATTAATAAAATTATTACTTCAAAAATTACCTACATATTTTTCATCTCCTTATTTTAAAAACAAATTAATTAGCTATATATAAATTTGATTATACGTACGAGATGATATTCGAAATAATATTTTGTGCGGTTTTCATTTGCAAAATTTTCATTTTTTTAAAAATATCTTTTTGTAGGAAGAAAAAAAATATTAGTCTCTTTAAATTGGGAAAATGTGGCCATCATTTTTAATTATCTACTTACAAACAGAAAAATTTTATCTCGGCGAATTTCAAATAAATATTGGTGTGAACATGTGACTGAGTAAAGTAAAAAAAAGTAAAAGATACATATCATATATCATGCGATCATATATGAAAAGACTAAATAAAACAATGTAAAATTTCGCTATTTCTTTTTTCAAATATTTTATCACTAACTTAAGTACGTATGTACTTAAAACATGTGTACATATCTTTTTGTTCATGATTTAGTCGTGCCTAAATAAAAGAAAAGAAATAATAATAATAATAAATTCATTGGAATCAAATGTTGCTCGAAAAGCTTTCAATTTATGACAGATGTCACTAATTCTGTCACGATATAATCTGATTAATCCTACATACTGTCATCGACTATTCTCATTATTGCTACAATTTACAATTTACTTACTTTACCTACTTTACATTATTTCGCCATCACCCAATTCATTGTCATCGTCATAAAACTTAAGATAAAGAAGCAATTAACGATCAAAAATGCTACTTCATCAAATGTACACGATACTTCTCCCGTCTCCAACTATCAAACAAAATGGAGACGGGTTAGAATTGGTTCGTGAAATTAGGTTGCCCATCGTTATCGTCTTAGTGTAAACCAAATACCAGATACCAGATACTCGTAACTGAGTTATTGCTTTTTGAAGATTACGTGAATCAAGAAGGTCGTCGATTATCGACACCGAAACGAACTTCATACTTTCGAACACCAATATATATGCCATCTACCGATTATACCCGATCCGTTTTCTAATTTTCTCGATTAAACACGATACACATCGAATCTCAAACGTGATGACAAGATTACATGTACAACTCTATCGCGTCGAAGCAACTGCCTCTTGTATGCCAACGCTCGTGTATAACTCGAATCATCGATCCAGAATCGATTTTAACCTGCGATTAGTCGAAACGTGACTACCACGGCTCGAGATTATGCATCTCGAAAATAATGTGCCTCTTTCATTTAAATTCATAGAAAGCAGTGATAGTGGTGGCTCGTTATCAACTTTGACAACTTCTCTCCAAATTTTTCCACGATTTGCCGATATTTCGAATAACGATCGTTACATGTGAATGATTTGAAGAATGATACAAAACTATGAATTTTTGTTTATGAATTATAAAGACATCTTTTCCGAATTACATAAAATTCTTGATAGAATGAATTATATATAAATATATAATAATACTTTATTTTTTGAGACGAATGATACAAAATTCGATGGAAATTGAAAAAAAGTAAAGTTTGTACAATCATAATCATTTAAATTTATTGTTATTTAATTATATTGACAAGACTTTTCATAATTAACAAGAGCTTTTGAAAAATATTTCAAGTGGAAAATAGAATGATGTACACGCTAAATTATTCCAAAAACAAAATCCATCCTAATTAATTTTTCATAAAATAACCAATAAATCATAGCCAAAACATTGTAACAGAAATAATTTCATATTCTTCTTTTCCCTAAATATCACAATGAATATCGATGCAACAAGCATTAAACGTCAAAACCAAAGAGATTATTACGAAACGATTTTTGTCTTCGTCTTCCTCTTTCACCTCTAAATTCGCATCATCCCGATTTACCATCGATTACAGGATACCCTATATTTAAACGGATCTGCGCAACAAGCGTCAAAGGTCGAAGGCCGGCGTATCGTGGATTGACGAGGAATGGCGCCAGTTACGTAAAAATCGGGTCGTGTATAGAAGAGGAAAAAAGCAACACGGAGACACTTTTTCGGCCCCCCGTCACACCGGGGTGCTTCGGAGAAAGCTTCGAAAGCGGGATGAAAGTCGTTTGGGCTTTGCCTGTACCGAGGGTAATAAATGGTGTCACGCCGTCGAGTGGATGTGTTTATTCTCCTACGATCCTCCCTGATATTTATGGAAACGTCGTAAAACGACAATTTCTCGTGGAGCTCGGGGTACAATTCTCTCCCTCCGCCACCCTCTCTTTGGTTTTTTCTTTCTTCTGGTGTCTTCTTTCTCCAAAAAGCAGTCCATTTCGATCTGGAAGAAAAAAAAAAAGAAAAAAAGGACAGATCCCGTTGCCAGCGGACGAAACGCCTTGAAACCTTACCCACGCTGTGCTTTAAAGCAATTTATACTTTAATAGAACGAAGGTCAGACGCGAGGAACAAAGCGGTACCATCCCATTTCTGAGTGTACACAACTGCGAATGGTTGCACGTGTGTGTTATTCTGTAATAAAATAAGTGGTTCTCGGAGATCCTTATTAGTCGCGAGGGTGGAGAAGGAAGAGAAGCGGAGGGAAAGAAAATGGAGATGATCGTGATCGATATCACAAGTGCAACGGAAGGAACGAGAAATCTCTTTGATGTGATTTGACGTTAAATGGTACTTTAGTGCCGATCGTTACCACTTACTTCTGCATACCGGGTGTTTTATTTATTATCGATTGAAATATCTTGGCTACGATCAACTCCACGTGTTATGTGATTATTCGCAAAATACGACATTTCGTTTCGTATCGACTCTCCTCGTATAGTGATACGATAATGCGATAATTTATACTATATTGCTGTATAAAAAAAAAATCTTATCATTTCTATTAGTTTATTTGGATTATCGCTTGTTTAGGCAATCGTCTCGAATCTGAGTAATTGTAGCTCTTAATAAAATATTTTCTAGTTGCTTGGAAACGAAGATATTGACTTTATCTTTTTTTATTTTAATTAAATAATAGATGAAGGCTAATCTTCTGATGTGGAACAGAATATTTTGAGATCACTGTTAAGAGAGGATGTAAGATACGTTGGTTTATAAAAATACAGATAAATGGCCGAATTCTCAATAAATATTCAAAGTTTAATTTAATTTCAATGATAGATCGATGATAGTATATTTTTTTAATGCAATTTTGAATACATCATCACAATTTTTATTTACTCTTAAATAGAAAAGCACACGAATTCTACTCATAATTCATTATAATACAAAATTTATTTTTTTTAATGAAAAAAATTTTAATGAAAATTATTTTTAATGAAAAATATTACTCGATTGATCACTTCGTTATGCAACAACTTAATACATTTCAATATTCTAAGCTTTTAAAAAGCATAAAAAGAATCTTTGAACTAATTAACATTTCATTATCCGATACATAAAAATAAGTGAACGAAAAAAAGAAAACCGACGTGGCCATTACTTTATCTAACCATTATCAATACAGCTCGCAATCTTAATAAATTTATTTTTCCGCATCTCGAGCAACAGTTCACAATCTCTACTTTTGGGTCTCGACTAGTTGGGTGTCAAGCACCCACGAAATTCTTTCGGAATGTTTAATTACCTTATCGTCGACTACCTGGTCTACCACGTATCACGTATTACCTGGTGTCTACCGATAGAAAGCGGCGAAGGTAAATAGTGGAGAAAAACGAAGAGGTGTTTCTCGGAACGGGCCCACGGGATCCCTTTTACCCTGGCCCGATTCGCCGTGGAATTTGGCAACCCTTCTTCTTGGAACGCGGCATCCAATGGATGAAACGTAATTCCATACAAGATTATCTCGCCGCTGACAAAAAGAGGCGTAATCCCGATCGTTTTATTCTTGTTTGATTTTATTTCTTGGTTATCAATTGGATCGTTGGTAATTATTGATTAATTATCGTGTAAATGGTAGAATTTATTTTTTCTTGGGGGCTTTGGTGTTTAATTTAATTCGATGAATGAAAGTTGAGAGATATATTTGGTAAGAAGTAAGAGTGTAGTTTAATGTGAAATATCTCTTACAAAATGAAATACGATTGCGAAAGATTATGTTTTTATAAGTTTATAATAAATAATGTAATAAAAAAAAAAACGAGAATTTTGATTTATATAGTTTTTAATAATAAGATAGAAGGTCATATATTTTTTCCTCTACAATTAATATCTTAATAGTAATATCAATTGCGAGATTAGTACATTTGCGATATTATATTTATCAATAAAGTCAATACAATGTGTCCCAATAGATAAATATAATATCAATCAGAATTAATCATAATGATTTAAAAACTATAGGAAAATAATATTTGGAAAAACGAAAACTAAATAATACATGAAATCGTAATAATAAATAAACAATTTTTTATGTGCGCAATTTCTTTTTTTTTTTTTAAATTTTCTTTGAAAAAACACAAAAATAAAGAAATATAAATTATTTCTTTTGTATATTTACCAATCTATATTAGAAACTCTATATCAAACTATGTTATAGAAAAGAATAATATACAATAATTTTTTGATAAATTAATATCGAAAAATATTAAATACACTTACTAATAAAAATATAAATTTTATAGATTTTTATCGTCATTTGATTTAAACTTTATTCTTCACATCCATTCTAATTATCATCTCTCAAACATCCAATCATAACCCAAAACATTTCAAAACCCAAAATGATTTTGGTAAAATCTCTTGGAGCAAAGGTATAAATCTAATACCACATACAAATTTATCAATTTATATCGTCAAGATAAATCAATCGATTTCAGAAAAAGGGTTTAATTACCAACAATTCTTACGAAAACCGAAAAGGGCCACGAATTCTTCCCAAAACTTTCACACAGACGACAGTATCGGCGCTTATTTACCATAGAAGGACCATTCCTCTTCGGTTCCCTCTCGTAAGCCCTGTTTCCGGGACGTTGCGAAATTCAGAAACCCTTTTTCTCGGTATTCTCTCGGATGCCTGGGACGGCAGCCTTGCCAGGACCGTCTACCTGATTCCCGGATACTGTGGAAACGAAGCAAAGGAGAGTTTTGTCGATTCTCAATGGATCGAGGGACTATTATTTCAAGATTTACGAGGGGACATGTGGTCGTAAGTTTTAAAAAAAAGGAAAAAAAAAAAAACTACGTTCCTTCCTTGCCCTTCAATGTACACTTTTTCTCCATTTGTCCCTATCCTGTATTTCGATCTTTTCGTCAAGCTCAAGTGGATGGCCGTGTTTTTAAAATGACACCTCGGAACGAATATTATTATGGTGGTTCTTGCCTTTCTTTCGTTGTTTTTTTCCTTTTTCTTTTCTTCTTTTTTTTTTACTTTCTTGAACGATCTTAAGCGAGAACACTTGTTGAGTACTTTGTATAAGATGATGAAGCTTCAGTTTGCAAAAAAAACGATACGATTTATCGCCATTTTATTCGTATCGCAGTCTTCTCTGGGTTTGATACACAGAGGCAAGTTCTGTGTACTCGGAGCAAGTCTTGGACGAGTTTTGAAAAAAATTTGTCTACATCTGGTCGTCGAAGCCTTTTGCTTCGATTACATTCTCGTGGCGTTTAACCATATATCATGAAGTGAATATCTTCCGAGATGAAGTGCTCGAATGAAAATTGTTTCTGGATACGCCCTCTTTCTTCAGGTAGTCATTAGTGAGAGTTTATCTTGTAAAATTATAAGCAATATGATATATTAATAGTTTTTCTTTTTAAACTTGAAAAGCAATTTAAAAATTTCACCTGGATTTGTTATCGAGTTTAAGAGGAATTCATGTATATTGTGTAAGTTTGAGATATTTTCTTTATATTTTAAAAAAAGTATGTAATAAAGCATTATGTTTTTGTGTCCAATTGTCTTTGTAATATTAATAATATTGTTATTAATATTAAAATGCTTTATTATATTTTTATTATTTAGTATTGTTAATATTATTAAATATTTGAATATTTAATTAAAAAAAATTGAATATTAAAATTTACTTGCAATTAAATTTGATTATAAAAAAAATATGAGAATTTAATATTTTAATTCATAAAATGAAGAAATTTTCTCGTAAGATAGGATTCAAAGAAAAACGTGTAATCTCATTTCTGATTTGATTAAATTCAGAATAATATACGTAATCATTAATGTATCAGTGGCGCCAAACGACATAAGTTTTTGTCTGAATCTAGATCAAACATAAGTTCTTAAATACAAGTTATTAAATAAGTCGACACCGAAAGATATGAGTTATAGATTTCTAGAAGAGATATGTACTAAACATTCCTACTTGATTTTAAAGTTTAAATAGAAGGCGTTAGCATCGTTATCACTGAAACCTTTTAAGTTTGTTGGTTTGGTATTACAAGATTACTTTATCACTTTTTTTTCTATCGATGCATTGGCATAAAAAGTTTCCACAAATATTATTTTATATTCAATAAATATTATGCCTGCCTGATTATATTTCACATTAAAATCAAAGAGTTTAAAGAAACACACCTTAAAATTATAGTTGAATGTAGAATGATATAATATTGATAGAATGTATTTGAATATATTTTAAAATAGATGGTCAAAATTATTATGGGACTTAATATTAAAATTTAGAGATTTAAAATATGCTAGAGTCAAAAATACCAGCATTTCAGGAAGAAAATATACTAAAAATATATTAAAAATATAAAATATAGAAATAAAAATATACTAATTTAAATATAAATAATATAAATAACTAATAAATCAAATATAAATATATATATTATAAGAAAGTAGAATGAAGAATAAGCAGAAAAAAATAATTTAAACATATTAAAATATTATTTTTAAAAAAAATGGACTTAATATATTTCGATTCGTAAGATAGAGATATTTATAAAGATTTATTTATTAACAATTATATTTATAAAATCTTTTTACATAAAATATATATCAATAGAACATATATAATAGAATCCTAATAATTAAAATGGTTTGTCAATGTAAATAAAATATATGTATAAAGAATAATATGAATATATCCAAGTAATAGCTATAAGATATATATATATATATAGTTATAGTTGGATTTCTGCTAATCAATGGAAATCTCTAAATCAATGAAAAGAAAAATCATTTAATCAAAATTATCTTTTTTTGGATAAGAAGTTCTTATATCAAAAAGATAAACATGATTAACAAACGATTTTTTTTCTTCACAGAATTTTGCGACCATTGTCCATTTTTAAATCGTTCAGAGTGTGTCTAAAAATCGCATTAATTAGTAAATTTTGTTTGAACTCTTTATAAATTATTTCATTATTGCAAATATTTAACATAAATGGTTTTCTTAGAACCAAAAAAAGTGATAATTATAAAATCATTTATTATTTATTTGCTCAAAAAAATTTTTTTAATAAAAAATAAAATCTATATAATCTATTAAATTTATTAAATTTATAATAAAAAAAATAAATGAAATTAATTTAGATATTATGAAATATCTATAATATAAGTATTATATTTTCATAGATTCATAGATTACTTCGTAATCGCTAATATCAAATAATTTTTATCTCCTGTAATAGTATAGTTGGAGTATAAAATACAGGATATAAAACAGTTCGATAAACAGAAAGGAGTGAAAGTGTGAGACCTCCATGACCGCAGGATATGCAATGAAAAATGTCGACCAACCACTGTGTACAAAAGAAGTGGTTAAACATTGAAACCTTATATAGTTTCTTGTTAATACGTAGCTCTTGAAAATCAGGTTATTGTAACATCAATCACCTGTTGAGGAAAAAATTATTCCCCATGACACGGCTTTATTCTTTTCATAAAGGATTTCGTAGCGAATGTGCCGATCCTTTTCCTTCGTTACGCTCCGCCTTAAAATTGTTTTTCTTTTTGACATTCTTAATGGCAAAATACTTGTTGCTGATATCCCTCACGATCCCTGCCAATATTGCAAATCATCAAGATCGATCATTCACATTATACTCGGCATCTAAAGAGACGAGCAAAAAATTTGATTTCTTAAAAAAAAAAGAAAAAAAAGAAAAAAGATTTTATTGACTCGCATCGTGTCCTGATCACGTGTTTACAGTTTTTGTCAATTTTTTATTACTATAGAAAAAGGACTATAATTTTGTTATAATCAATTATGTGAGAAATATCTTAAGTTAGTTTTAATCTTGTTAACTTTATTGTCTTTTTTTTTTTATTCTTACTGATAATATTTTTGGAAATATAATTCATTTTTTAATTTCTTTTTTTTATAATTTTTATTTCCATTAAAAATAAAAGTTTTAAAATTTTTTCATATTTTTTTAAAGTATAATAAATAATAAACATAATATATGAGCACAAATGTGCCTATAAAAGGTTAAATTAATTAAAACTATTTTAATAATGCTATTTTATAATTCATGTTTTATAAATTATATAATATCATTAATGTTATTTCATTCTTTTCGATAAGATTTCGTACAAAATTTTTTACATGTATTCACTTATTTTATCCTGATATCAATCCTTGTTACATTCTCGCACTTAAGATTCCAATAAATTAAAAAGAAAGATAAAATTGTACAGATTAGACAGAATGGATTATATATCTAACAGATATCAAAAATATTAAGTATCTTTACAAAAATTAAGATATTTCCATTAAGGTTCAAATATACAAAATGCATACAAATATAATATATATTATTTTTGAAAAATTAATTGTTTTTTAGCAATATAATATTTCAACAATATACCTGCATTTTAAATGAATTTATTTGAACAAAATGACACACATAAAATTAAAATTAAAATTATTCATTTATTAACCTATCCATTGTTATTTTTCTCATAAGCTTCAAACTGCGAAAATTCAATGACGTGTTCCCAATTGTTTGTCAGTTTCTATGAACAAGAAAGGTGTTACCTTCCAGCCGTTTAAATGAAAATTATATATCTGAGTTTATGTTGGACACCTATTAACAAGTAAAAGGAGCAAACTGGCCGCTCCTTACCAGGCAATGGGAACGCACCACCTAATCTCAAAGTAATAAAAGGATTTATTGCGGATACCCTCTAGTACCCAGTACCGTTAGGTCGAAAGAAAGATACCTGTAAAAGCCTAGTCAAGAAAAATTCACAATTCTTAGGATTTTTCGTTTTGTTTAATGCTTATAAATGCTTTCGAACTTACGGTAATTCTATAAAAGGTCATCGACTATCGTATATTAATAAATCATCATAAAATTTAGAAAATTTGGAAAGCTGTACATCATTGTTTTATTTTTTATTGATATTTAAAAGAAATTCGTATACTTAAAATTTATATTAAGTAGGATGCATTAAATTTTACAACTGCAATTAGTTCAGTATAAGGCTTTTTGAAATCATTGTTGTACAAAATTCTAAGAATTTAAATAGTTATTCTATTGGTATAATTAATTTTCATTAGAAATTATACACGTGTTTATTATAAATATATATTTTATATATTTAATAATATCGTAGTTTTTTAATAAAAATTTTCTTTATTTTAAAAACTTTTAAAATAAAACCAAGACTATTTGTTAATATCATTTACAAGTTTTTAAACTACTATTTAATTAAAATAAAATACCGATCATTGAAAATTCAAGGTAGGTTTTATAGAGAAATTAACGTCACGACATTTAACCACAACGAAATTTCGTCGGTACTTTCCTCGCATGTTTAATTGTTAACGCCAAGAGGCGGCAAGAGGAGTACGCTTCCTTCCCGTTCGAGTGGCTTTTCAATTGTTCCGCTAACGAGCAACCAAAATACAGTGGGACCACCCCTAACTCGTGTAAATGTCCTCCCCATGAGGAACGAGTTCGACGTCTCTTGAAGAAACTTTTAGCTCTTTTTTTTTTAGATCTTTTCTATGGACAGTGTTTCCTTAGGGTAAAAATTATAAATTTAACTTATTGTCCATTGTTAAACGTATAAGGAATTTTAATAGAAATATTTGCCTTCCTATAAAATTAAAATTTTGGAATTTAAAACTAATTTCATCTCGATCTTCAATGGGATTTAAAATAACTTGATTAATTAACCAGTATATAAGCAAAATGTAAATTTACATTTTATATTGCATTTCTTTTATCTTCATTCCTTATAATATAAAACTCTTCTCTTCCTTTTATATTTTATAAATAAACTAGAATCGAAACAAGAATATCGTACGATAACGAATTTTAAAAAATGACAAACATTTGAAATGTAAAGCTAAAAAGAATGGCAAAGTGGATATTACAATGTTATTAAAAAAGTAATAATAATAGCAATAACAATAATTTATTACATCGAATTAATAATACACCTGATGATTAAAGATCACAAACGATTAAACCAAAAATAGAATGGATCTTGGTGCAATCACCTGCGCACGTTCCACCGGAACAAAGGGGTGAACGTTAGTTCGCATGCATTCCGTGGCCGCCGCTGCTTCCGTCGAGTATGTATTGGTGCAGACGGTGAATCAAAGGTTACGCGATTGCACAAATTCGCGTAAGATCTACACACACCCGAAGGATCGACGTATCACGATGACGTCATCGCCGGTAAATCTCTCTCTCCTGGGTGGATGCAGACGCCGGTTGACCTTGCTTGTGCGCGGTCATCTGCCAGCCGGTTATTCACACGAGATGGCGGAAAGAAGAAGAGGTGCGAAGGAACGAGAGGAGAAAGAAGCCGGCCGTGGAAAAAGCGAGGAGGGAAGGTGG